TCCTCCTCCTCCTCCTCCTCCTCCTCCTCCTCCTCCTCCTTCTCCTCCTCCTCGGGTCGCCCACGGCCCTGTGGGAAACCGCGCAGGGCCAAGTTCATGTGGAGTAAGTCCATACCGGAGTGGGCGGTTTCCGTCTGAATTTACAGTGGAAGCCCATGCCAAGAAGCATGTTGCTTGCCTCCAGGGTGCCCTTGGTTTCGTGGGTGTCCAAGCTCTTGCGTTGGAAGGCGTGACGTTCCGACACCAAACATCAAGGGACGTCCTGAGGTCTCAGGGTGGGAGTTATTGTGGAAGGTTTCTTGTGGTCGAGCTGCTATTGTACTCCGTCTGGACTTCGCCTCTCCTGAATCGGGAATCGGAGCTTCGCGCGCGAGGCCAGGGGCAGGCCTGCCCTTCGTTTCGGGCCTGCCGATTATTCGGGCGAGGGCCAGCAGAGGAGCGAGGACTTCGCTCGGGCCCTCGTCGAGCCGCACTGTATCGTTCGAAGTGCAGTGTCCGAGGCCTCGCACCGTACACATCGGAGGCGAGCGAGGGGGGAAATGAGAAGGAGAAGGCCTTCTCAGAAGGCGGCGGGACTTCTCAGAAGCCATCGCGCCTTCTGAGAGGTTGTTTGTGTCTTCGGGGAAGGCTTCGAAAACTTCTCAGAAGGCCCGGCAGCTTCCGAGCCTTCTGAGGAGGCCCGCTCCTTCTCACTTCCCCCCTAGCGCGCCGCCTGGCACAGCAGGGTTGGAAATCGGGACATATACACTGCCAGTGGCGGGCTGTGTTTCAACCCCTGAGGGTCGCGGACGACGTCGGGGTGGTGTGGTGTATACTTTGTTCAACCGCTTCCCGGGGAACCAGCGAAAACTGTATACACCAGGATCCCGCATACACCAGGATCCGCTTTCCTGTGCAAGTTTCCATGCAGGGCCGAAAAAACACGTTGGTGTATAGAGTTCGGCTCCCTACAAGGAGCTTGCGGTTGAACGGGCTCTTGGTGAATGCCCATGTTTGGGTACGCGTAGTGTTGACCACGGTTCTTGCTTTATCCGTGCACCGCCATGTGAGATTGCGTGCAGGACGTTAGTGCAGTGGAGGTCGGACTCGCACCTTCTGTCCACTGCCAATTGGACCATCCAAGCGGTCCCAGTTGGCCAAGACCGTATCTTCTCGGTTGGCTGGATTGCGGAGTCAGCCGACAACTGAAAGAGCTCTTTCTGCCGTTGCTGGCATGAGGGGCGCTCACCCCCCAAAACCAAGGGGTGACGGGGGTTCTGGACCCCCCCACACCCCCGCCCAGGAAATGATTCGGGGGTCCACCCCCATTGGGAACACTGTTCGAGGGGTCCAGAACCCTCCTTCCCGCCTCCCCCCCAGCAACGACGACGACGACGACTAAAAAGACGGAGAAGACGACGAAGATGAAAAACAACGACGACGACGACGACGACGACGACAACGACGACGATCGAGCCATATTGGGATGCGAGTAAAGCTGGACCAAGCCCTAACATTAAGGCTTGACAGAGCCCTGATGCGATTGACCAGGCCCTCGTAGGATTTCATTAGAGCTGGATCCAACTCTATAGAAATGTTGCATGAATGCTGGACCAACTTTAAGTAGAATTCCATCATACGGTGGAGGCGTTCGTTAGGGAATGTGCCCAGGCGGCTTCAGACCCTGTAGGGTTCCTTATTTGACGAGGGCGGCGGTGATATCCATGGCAAATCCACGATTGGATCTCCACTGGCTTCCAGACCCTGGATTCCTTGTCGAAGGTTTCTTTATCCTGTGCCATCACCGTACCTGGATCCAGCCCTGATATGATTCTACGAGAGCTGGATCCAGCCGTAGTAGGATTCGATTAGAACTGGATCGAGCCCCGGCAGGATTGCATTCAAGCTGGATTGAGCCGTAGTAGGACTCCATTAGAGCTGGATCCAGCAGGGCTGGATCTTGTCCCAGTAGGGTTACATTAAAGCCTGACCGAGCCTTTGTGGGGTTTTATTGAGTTTGATCGAACCCAGGATAGGGTTTCAATAAAACTGGATCCAGCCCCAGGCGACGACGTCGTCGTCGTCCGCGGGGGTGGGGGGCCAGGGAGGCGTTATGGACATCCCCGAAGAAGTTTCCCGGGTGTGTGGGGGGTAGATGGGTTCTGGACCCCATTCGGTTTTTTGCGGGTGGTGAGGGGGGAAGTCAAGGGGTGTGTTTATTGGTTTGGGACCCCTTTTGTTTTAGGATTTTCCACTGAGGGGGGATGGAGGGGGGAGGAGGGGCGCGTGGTTCCTGACCCCCCTTTTATGGATTTGTTCCAGGCACGCGACACCGGATCGCGCTCCCTGGGACATCGCCAGCATGCATCACAGGCGCCTTCTGCTGCTCAAGCTTGCGATCGCGAGCGTCATTCTGGAGATGAGCGAGTGTGGGCAGCACGGGGCAGCAGAGACGGCTGAGGGCCGCTTGGGCTGCGCCATCCGATGCATACGCGCGGCGGTGCAGACAAGATATGAATTGCCGTGCAGCGAGCGGCTTGAAGGTTGTGGGAGCTCCTTGATGAATGACGGCCGAGCAAGACGCACCCATAGGGTGGACGCAGAGGCCTATGGGTGCGTGCTGTCGGATGGGGGTCCCCGCTCGAACTGTAGCCTCCCCCAGGGTCCGACAACCCGCACCCATCCCATCCCGTAGCCAGTCCTCTTCCCTCCGATCATCCCATAGGTATGGGTGTGTGTTTCAGGGCGATATCACACGCAGACAAAAGTAATGGTCGACTCCCAGGAAAATATGGGGAAGTGTGGGTGAAGACGGAAACCCAGAAAGCATAAACATGGATCAAGGGGGCGTGGATTAGCCCAGCTTCCACGGGAAGTCGCGGATTTCCGCCGCCGAACGGGGCAGCGGTGGCCGCATTTTTGGGAGGGCACCTCCCCCGATCCATGGATCTGGCGACCGCGCGCCAAATCAATGATCGCTAATTCATGTTTGCGCGCCCCCGATGCTGGCTGGGGAGGACCCCCGCCAGGGCACCCTTTACGACCTCGAGGTGGAGGCACAGCGAGCCCGCAGAGTGAGGATGGGCGACTTTCCAAGGCTACAGTGGAGGCCCATGCCAAGAAGCACCCTGTTTGCCTCCGGGGTGTCCTGGGTTTCTTGGGTGTCGATGCTTTTGCGATGGAAAGCGTGGCGTTCCCAGACCAAAAAACAGTGGACGTCCTGCGGTCTCAGGGTTGGGTTTCTTGTGGAAGGTTTCTTGGGGTCGGGCCCCTGAGCGACTTTCCAAGGCTACCTTTGCATCCCCGTCCCGTCGGCCCATCCTTCCCCGCACAGTAAGGATGAGCGACTTTCCAAGGCTACCCTTGCATCCCTGTCCCTTCGGCCCCTCCTTTCCCGAACAGTAAGGATGAGCGACTCTCCAAGGCTACCCTTGCATCCTTGTCCCTTCGGCCCGTCCTTCCCCGCATGGCAAGGATGAGCGACTTTACAAGGCTACCCTGGCATCCCTGTCCCGTCGGCCCACCCATGGTGAGGATGAGTGACTTACCAAGGCAAGGCTACCTTTGCATCCCTGCCCCGCCAGTCCATCCTTGGCCGCGTTCGCAGGCAGCGCCCCGCTCGCAACGTGTCGACGAGGCCTTCAAGGCCCTCGCATCCTCACAGTCGACCTGCGTAGTGAGGATGGGCAGCCTTCCCAGGTGTACCCTGCATCCGTGTCCTTTCGGCCCATCCTGGGCCACTTTCGCTGGCCGCGCCCCGGTCCTCCAAGACCCTTGCGTCGGGGGCGGTCAAGAGGGGGGTGATGACAAGGGGGGGGGGGTATCATGGCGGGGGCCACGATATCTCCCCAGATTTCATGGCGACTCTTCTTATTCAATCGCTTCGCTCATTCCGCCGGCCCATGTTGCATGATCGCTACTGCTTCGCCGTGGGCCCGGGGCCATTGTGGCGCCGCCGAGGAGGAAGAAGATGAGGATGGGGAAGGGGAGGGGAGGAGGAGGAGAGGATGAGAAGGAGATGAGGAGGATGAAGATAAGTAGGAGGAGGAGGAGGAAGAGGAAGGGGCGGAGGAGGAAGCCTCTCGTTGGCATCTTGTGTTGCTCTTGGGGCCAAACAGGGTCGTCGTCAAGATGCTTCTCTGGGAGGCCTCTTGGGGTCTTTTCAGAAGCCGTTCGAGGGCGCCTGGGAGGCATTTTTGAAGTCTTCTGGGGGGCCTCCTGGGGGCCTCCTGGGACCTCTTGGGGGCCTCTTGGCGGCATCTTGGGGCCTCTTTGGGGCCTCTCGGGGCCTCCTGGGGCCCTCTTGGGGCGGAAGGCTCGAGGTTTTGGTTCGTGGTCCCCCTCTTGGGCCCCTCTTGGGGCCGTCTTGGGGCCGTCTTGGGCCGTCTTGGGCGCCTCTTGGGTCGTCTCGGGGCCCTCTTGGGCCCTCTTGGGGCCCTCGTGGAAGCCTCTTGGCCCGTCTTGGGGTGCTCTTGGGGGCCTCCTGGGCCGTCTTGGAGCATCGGATGGCCGAAAAGGGGACAAGGCCCAAATTCTTTCAAAACCATCGTAAAATGTCTGATTTGGGCCTCTCAGGGCCCTCTTGTGAGGCCTCTTGGAGGCCACTTGGAGGCCTCTTGGGCCGTCTTGAGGTCATCATCGGCGTCTTGGAGCGCTCTTTAGGCGTCTCGGGGGCCCTTTGGGCAGTCTTGGGGGCCTCTTGGGGCACTCTTGGCGCGCTCTGGGGGGCCTGAGAAGCCACACCCAGGAGGAAAACCATGTCTGAGTAGCAGTGGTCGGGCGGCGGTCGGGGTACTTTTCGCCGGAGGACCCCCAGGGGCCGCCCCGCGCGCGCGAACTAGAAGTATTGTTTAGCAGTTACCGGAGATCTTAGCACGCCTTTGGCCCGTTGGGCCGGCGAATTTCAATACGTCCCTGCCGCCCCCCCCCCCCCTGGGCCGCGCATATGCCGCTGGCCATGATTTGCGCCCCCCTCTCTTGGACATCCCCTTGGCCGCCCCCGACTGCATCCACACCGCGCCTCCTTGCGATACGGGTTGGCTGCAGGCGCGGGGGGGGAAACTCCTCGGAGCCCCACCGCCCACTCTGATCCGTCGACGGAGACCAGGGAGAGCCCCCCCCCAGGAACGCACGGACTTGATATCCGTGGCCTGTCGTTGATCATAGTAGTAATAACAGTAATAACTGTAATCCTAAAATGATAATAATAATAATAATAATAATAATAATAATACTAATACTAATAATACTAATACTAATAATAATAATAATAATAATAATAATAATAATAATAACACGAATATTAATACTAGTACTAATAATAATAGTAATAATATTAGTACTCATACGAAAAATAGGAATAGTAGTAATGGTAACAAGATTAAGGGCAACAATAGTAGAACCATAATCACAACAGTAATAATAGTAATAAGCATCACCATCATAATCATCATCGTCAGAATCAGCATCATCAGCATCATCATCATCAGCAGCATCATCATCATCATCAGCATCATCTTCATCATCGTCATCGTCATCGTCATCATCATCATCATATTACGAATAATATCAATAATAGTCATACGTATAATAATAACAATAATAGTAGTAAGAATAGTAATAATGATACAACGATCGCAGGAATAACGATACGACTGATAGTGATAATAATGAGAGTTATAACAGTAACAATAATAATACTGGTATACTTATGTTATATAGATAATATATATATATATATATATATATGTGTGTGTATATGTGTGTGGTGTAGTGGCCTCCGGTCAGTGCCGCGGATCCGGGGCACTCCAGGGGATGATGATGATGATGATGATGATGATGATGATGATGATGATGATGATGAAAATGGTGTTGATGATGATGTTGATGCTGATGATGATGATGATGATGATGATGATGATGAAGGGCATGATGATGATGATAATGTTTGGTGATGGTGATGGTGACGATGGTGATGTTAATGATGGTTACAATGGTGCGCGAGACTCCGTTGACAACCATTGGGGAAGCAGTGATTCTGGCATTTTCGGGGCGCTGGTGGTGTCGCCGCTGCTGTTGGTGCTGTTGCTGGTGCTATTGCTGGCGGTGTCCTCTGGTGGTAGTGGTCTTGCCAGACGTTTGCTGGTGGTGACGCGAGTGCTGCTGCCACGTGACGTGGTACTGGTGCTGTTGCAGCAGCCTCGGGTGCTGGTGCGGCTAGTGTTGCTGCTGCTGGGGCTGGTGGTGTCATTGGGGCTGGTGGTGTTGCTGGTGTTGTTGCTTGTGCTGTTGCGTTTGCTTGTGCTGTTGTTGCTGCTGCTGGGTCTGTCCAGGACAGGAGAGAGGCTCCGTCGGAAAGAAGGAAGGAGATTTCTCGGAGAGGTGAGGTCTGTCCTGGAGGGGGGGGTCTGTCGGAGTGGTGGGGGGGTCTGTGAGAGCGGCGGGGGGGTCTATAGGAGAGACAGCGGAAGAGCGGAGAGGGATATGTCGGAAGGGGGGGGGTTGTTGTTGGGGGAGGGGGGGTTGTCGAAGAGGCGGGGAAAGTGTGGGAGAGAGGGCGGCGGCGTCTGCCCAGCACAGGAGAGAGGCTCTGTCGGAAAAAAAGGAAGGAGATTTCTCGGAGAGGTGAGGTCTGTCTTGGAGGGGGGGGTCTATCGGAGTGGGGGGGTCCGTGAGAGCGGTGGGGGGGTCTGTAGGAGAGAAAGCGGAAGAGCGGAAAGGGATATGTCGGAAGGGGGGGTCTGTCTTGGAGGGGGGGGGGTTGTAGGAGAGAACGCGGAAGAGCGAAAAGGGATATGTCGGAGAGGGGGGTGTAAAAACGTGAGACGTCGGTGTGAGGGGTGAGGGGAAGGTGGGGGGAGTCGATCGGAGAAAGGGTTTGGAGGAGGGGAAGGGGGAGGGGGTCGATCGGAGAAAGGGAGAGCAAGTGTTTCGGAGAAGAGAGGGGGGGCTCGAAGAGGACAGGGGATGGGTTTGTGGAAGCGGGAGAGGTCGGTGTGGTGAGGGAGGGCCAGGGGAGGGAGTGTCTGTCCTGGAGGGGGGGTATGTCGGGGAGGGGGGGGAAGAGATTTGTAGGAGAGAGGAAGAGACTTGTCAAGAAGCAGAGGGGGAGTCTGATGCTTCTGTTGCTGCTTCTGCTGCTCTTCCAGGGGGGGGGTCTGTCGGAGAAAGGGGGGGGTCGTTGGAGAGAAGGGAGGGGTCTGTCGGAGAAGGGAATCTCTGTCGGAGAGGGGGGGGATCTGTTCGGAGAGGGGGGAAGGGGGTCTGTCGGAGAGGGGTGGGGTCTGTCCTGGAAGGGGGGGGGTCTTTTTTGGGGGGGGGGAGCTGTCGGAGGGGGGGGGGTCAGAGAAGAAGATTCCTCTCGGAGAGAGGGAAGTGGGTGTGTGTGGGAGGCGGGGGGGCTTGCGCGTTCAGTGAATTCCGTTGGAATTCGCCCCTCCCCTCTGCAGAGCGAAGCTTGAGCGAGCTCAAGCCCACGCTCTCACTAACTCACACGCCGGATCGGCGGATATCGGAGTAGGCCAGGGGGGGAGCCAGGCCGCTGCCTGTAACCTTCCATTGGCGCCCTTCGGGGGTTCTGGGGGGAACCCTCCCGAGACGGCCTGGGCCCTCCCCGAAACAGGCCACGACAGGCCAAGGGGGTCCCAAGAGGGCCAAAGACGGTCTCAAGAGGCCCCGAAGACGCACAAGATGCCCTCAAGACGGCCGACAAGGACGGACTCAAGAGGTTCCCTAAGAGGGCCCCAGGAGGCAAAATTCATTAATTTTCCGAAGGGTTTTTGAAGGGTTTTGGCGTTCTCGCTTTTCCTGCTTCCCAGCGCTACCTCACGGCCTCGGAGGCCCTTCAGATCGCTCCAAGACGGCCCACGAGGCCCCGAAGAGCGCCCCAAGACGGCCCAGGAGGCTCCCCAGACAACCCAAGTGTGCCCCAAGAGCGCCCAAAGAGGGGGCCCAGAGTGGGACCGCGAACCGATAGTTCGAGGTCTCTGGCCCTAGAGGCCCCTAGTGGGCCCCTGGAGGCCACCACCAATACGCTCCCACGAAGCCCTGTGAGGCGCCCAAGAGGCCCCCAGGAAGCCCCAAGAGGCCCCCAGGGGGCCCCGGGGAACGCCCAAGAGGCCCCCCAACACACCCCAACAAATCATGTCCCTAGAAAGCCTTCCGCGGACATGGTTCATCGTGGGCTCGAGAATCTGCAAAGGCTTCGAAGTACCATCACGCTACCGGAGAGCTGTCTAGGAAGTTGACTGGGAACATGATTGATCGCCTTACCGCGGCCCTCCGCGGATCGTTTCGCACAAAGTTGCCCCAAGTGCCCTCTTGAACCGACGACGAAGACGACGAAACGACGAAAACAACGACGACGACGACGGCACGCCCCAACAGGCTCCCCAAGAAGACCCCAAAACCCATGTTCCCAGAAGGCCTTCTGGGAACCCGATTCATCAGGATTCCGCCCCCCTACGCAAGTGTCTTCCCCGACTTCCAGAATGCGGATTGACACGCATGGACTTCTCATTGCCCATAATGCGTTCAGCGTTATGGACACTTCTTCATGTCCTGTTCAAACCGTCTGTAGTCCACTACTTCAGTGGAGCAGTGAACTCGCCAAGGCCTGGGGCCTGCTAGAACCATCGCGCGCGAAGCGCGCGCGATGGTTTTAGTGTGTGCATAGATAGATAGATAGATAGATAGATAGATAGATAGATAGATAGATAGATAGATAGATAGGTAGATAGATACATATATAGATAGATATATAGATAGATATATAGATGGATGATAAATAGATAGATAGATATATAGATAGATAGATAGATAGATAGATAGATAGATAGATAGATAGATAGATAGATATATAGATATATAGATAGATAGATATATATATATAGATCTATATATATGTATAGATAGATAGATAGATAGATAGACCCATACATATAAAGTGTGTAGATGCATATGTCCTTGAGCTGGCCCCACGAATATACGGGTTGACTGCAGGCCGTGCATCCTTATCATACGGGTATCATACGGGTTGATTGCAGGCCGCGGCGGCACGGCGCGGTACAGCTACCGAGGAGAGCCAGCACTCGAGACCGGCTCGCTGCGAAGGGCGTGGGCTTGGGACAGAATAGTCGCGCGGCTTCAGGAGAGCGGCGTTGGAGACGGGCGCCCCCTGCCTTCCAGGCAAGACGACATGGTTTCGAATCGACGAGGGAGGGGAGGAGGAAAAGAGAGAGGGAGGAGGAAGAGGAGGACGAGGAGGAGGAAGAGGAGGAGGACGAGGAGGAGGAGGAGGAGGGATGATGATGATGATGATGATGATGAGGAGGGGAGGAGGAGGAGGAGGAGGAGGAGGAGGAGGAGGAGGGGGGGGTCGCCGGCGAGGGCCCGAAAGCACATGGCGGGGGAAAGGAGGAGGTGGGGGAGGAAGACAAGCGAGGATGGAGGAGGATGGGCAGGTGGGAGGAGGGGAAGGGGGCTGATGACAGTGATGGGGCACAGGAAGATGAGGGACGATGAGGATCCGGAGGAGAACAGGGGGTGCAGGAGGAGCAGTGGGTCACGAGGTCGGAGGAGGATTTGGATGATGATGAGGAGGTGAAGGAGGAGGAGGAAGAGGAGGAGGAGGAGGAGGAGGAGGAGAAGGTCGAACCAGGATGGAAGGGGAATGGTGAGGAGGAGGAGGAGGAGCACCAGATCAAACCGAAGGTGCATCAAGGATGTTGCAGTACGCCCATCTGTTGCAAGGCACCTCCGCCGAAGCCCCTGCAATAATACCCCTGCGCTGCGGGAAGCGTCACCCTTGAAAGACGAGTGCCCCATGTCCATTCAATTCAGACGAGGGCCCTGTTTTGAAAAGAAGCTGCAGGTCATGCTTTTGGCCCTGAGGACTGCGACGAGGTAGGATCGTACATTCCACGGAGGTGTCCAACGACAGCCGTCCTCAATCCGTGAACATCTTCTCCAAGTTTGAACGTACAGCCATTAATCCTAAGTCTCGAATGAGAGAGTCCCGAATTCAAAATGAGCCGCCTCGGCGTGATTGTGGACGTCGAGCCGCAATTGTTCACGGCGTCTAAACCGGGAGCCACATTTTGAGAGGGACTCGTCTCTCCATGTATATACTTGTTGGACGTGTTCAAGGCGAGTGTGCGCGGCGCAGAGCCGAGAGCCACAGCTTGAAATTATACGCCTTCCATCTGCGTAGCTGGTGCATTGTCGTAGACTGCGCGCGGCGCAAAGGCGAGAGCCACATTGCGAAAACGACTCCCCCCATCCGTGCAGCTGCCAGAATATGTTACAACGAATGTGCGCGGCGCTAAGGCAAGACCTTCATTGTGAGAAGGATGCCCCATCCATCCGTGCACTTGTTGGTCCTGCCCTGCTGACACGTCTGGCAGTAAGACGGTGAGGAGCTATCGGTGATGGAAAGGGATGCAGACGGAGGGGGAGGAGGAAGAGGAGGAGGAGGAGTAGGAGGAAAGAAGGAAAATGAGGAGGAGGAGGAGGAGGAGGAAAAGGTGGAGAATACGGAGGACCACCAGCAGCAGTGAGGCGGATCGAGGTCCACATTGCCTGAGTGCGAGGAAGGGGGGGGAGCAGGCAGAGGGGCAGGTTGGGGGAGAGGGAGGAGGATAGATGACGGGAGGGTGACGGGACGTGGAGAGGCATATGGAGGGAAATGGAAGGAATAGGAGTTGGATCAGGAGGAGAAGGAGGAGAGGAGGAGAGGAAGGAGGAGGAAACAGATCAGGTGAGATGACTTTGGCCGAATTGCGGAGGGCCGTAGTGCCGCTTGTGGCAACCCAAGGACGAGCTGGTGCTGAGGCAGACGCCTGGACACAAGGCCTTGGGACGAGAAGTAGGAGGAGGACGAGGAGGAGGAGGAGGAGGAGGAGGCAAAGGAGGAGGAAGGAGGAGGAGGGGAGGGGGCAGAGGAGGAGAGGCAGGGGAATAAGCCATCCATCTGGGGACCAGCTCTGCGCCGAAGCCTCTGGCCCTGCCTTGGCCATGCACCCGACCTTCGGCAGGCCATGAAGGAAGACACCGATGTCAATTACAATCGGCTGCTGCGTCGGGGCCGCGAGCCTGGTGTAATCGACAATGGGGTCTGGCCTGGGGGGCGCGATCCTGGCGTAACGTATGAGGGGTTGTGGCCTTGACCAACGCGAGCATGTCGTACTTTGTGTAACTCTGAGGATACGCCCCGAGGGGGCTGATGTAGTTTGCCCGTCCGCTGCCATGTTGGTCCAACGCGGCGCCACCCTATCTGCTAACGCGGTGGGCGCCGCATGCCTCGTCGATTTGCGGTGGTGCGCAAAATAAATTCGATCCTACCGCCACCACTCGCGTTATCGCACATTCTCTTCTACACCTATACCCCAACATGCGATGGCACGTTGATTTCAGACTTGGTAGCGGAGCTGTCGCAGCCGCAGTAGCTCTGCTCGCGTCCACCATCGGCGTGATTACCTGCGCCAACTACCAGTACGACGGAGGCGACCTGCAGGACTACAAGAGCATCACGGTGGACTCATACTTGGACACCCTCCTGAAAGGTACCGGCGCTACCACTGCGCCCTCGCCGACCACAACATGGACTTCACGCGCGCGTGGAGTTCTGACCGCCTTGCCGAAGGCCTTCCTCTGTCCAACAACTACGTTTTCGATTACGCGGAGGCACACCACAACGACGATTTTTATACGTCGCCGTCGTCGAATGCGCGCGGGGGCACGGCCGCTTCCACCACGACGACCACCCCGTCCACCACTACCTCTGCCGCCTACGTTCGCGGAGGCAAGAACGATCCCTACATCTCCGAACTTCATTATCTCCGACTCGCGAAACCATCCTTGTGTCTTGTTGCTCGTGGCAACGTGACCAACATGTCTTCCACACCCAGAGTAGCCCCACCTCGTTTACCTTTCTTCATCACATCCACTACGTGAGCCTTGGCGCGCACGGGCTCAAGGCATCCATGATCGACGTGATCATAGGCCATATGATGCGCGGGCGGGAAGGAGATCATACCCAGGGCCCCGCGCGGTGCCGAGCCGCCAATGCCACGCCGCGTTTGGATACAAGAGGCACGCGCTTGGCTTACTGATCATGCGGGGCGGATGATTCCGTCGCAACGCGCAAGGCCTCGCACGCACAATAGCGACGCGCACACCATCGGCCGTCATCAACTTCGGCGCAGAGTTGAGAGGCGCCCGCACCGACCCAGCCACCTCCTTGCTGTATCATGCGACCCAAAGGTTTGATAGCCCAGAGGACGAACGGCAATGCCAGGCTGGAGCTGATGGACTTCCGCGCCCAGCCCAGCGAACTGATCGACAGCGCGCGAGCCAGGTGGGAGATCGCCCGCATGGAAGCTGACGCGGCAGGCTTCGGGCTTGACAGTTCCCAGTCACTAGTGGCCGCCCTGGCCCGAGCCTCGCGCATCCCACCTAGCGAAGTGTCATCATTACTGCGGCCGCCCACCGGGATGGCGCCACGCGCCCAGCAGGACTGCGACCGTCTGCTGGAGCCCACCCGACGACGCCGACACATTACTGGGAGGGCGCCTGGCAACATCCTCCGTCCGATGGGGGTGGCCACGCTGAGCTGGCGCGCGCGCGCGACGGACACGCAGCGGCTGGATCTTGGACCACCGCAGCTCCAGGAGCCCAAGGTACTCAAGGAAACTTTGCCAACTGGGCGCTGCCGACCACGTCGGCGGCCCCAGCGATCACCCCATACAGCCACCCTGTGGGGGAATAGTATTGAGGGGGCGACGGCGGTGCGCAAGCGGACAGAGTCTCCTCCGACTACGACACCGAGTTCACATGGAACCATTTGGTAGCCTTACCCGAGGTTCAACATGAAGAGGACATGTTCGCCTTCAAATAGAAGGACGAACGCTGGGGGCGCGACATGCGCAAGCTGGCCAGGCGGACCAGGCGCTTCCTGAAACGCGCTCTGAAAAGGCAAAGGTCGAGGAGGCCGCAAGGGGCGCCGACGACCCAGCAGGAGTAATTGTACTCAGTAGAGGCCACGGAAGAATACTTACATTTCGCTTTTACGATGTGATGGAACGCTACGAGCTCGACACGACCGATTCCATCAACGATTGGCGCGTGGGAAAACGACCGGGCTTTAGAGATTCGGGAGAAGCTCCTGAACTTCGGCTCGTGGACACACGATTCGAACCGCCAGGGCCCGAATGCGACGCAGCACTACCACAACACGTACATCTTGAAACTGAACACACGCGCGGCATGAATTACGAAGTCGTTGACGACGGCAACGGCATGCCAGACCCCCTGCCTCGCGCCCACAGTATCGCGATCCTCGATCCCGATCTCGAGGGGGTGAGCTTGATTTTCCAGGTATCAGTTCGCGACAGCCGGCTACCAGCTCAGCGCCCTGGGGACGTGATCCCAGAGGGCCGGTATTTGCCCAACATGGCACATGCATGTTGAACGGCGTTGAACCAAGATACAGTCGAGGTCGATTAGTAGGTCGACCCTGCCAATCAAGGGTACCCTTGTGCCCTGTGTGTCGCGACCCGGGCCTCCTACATTCCTATGGCAATGTGGCCCTCGGAAGGGTCTTGCGTCCTATCGCGTGTCCTATCCAATCAATCCCGACTGTACCACAGAACATCCAGTATTCGTTTCATGGATGTGGCGACCACCCGAACTATGACACGGACGGCGACGACGACGATGCTGAGGAAATTTAAAACAGGACAGCGAGCGGCGAACGCCGTGGCTCGCCACACGATACCCACAAAGACCCCGACACCGCTCGGGTAATTGTTTTGGCCAGGGACACCTCAGATCGTCAAGCGCGGCTCTAGAGTTAGCGACGCTATAGAATTTGAATTTGCGATGGACCACATGACTAGCAACGCGAACAACCCTAGCGAGCAGTCGCCAGCTTTCTAGGCATCCCGCATCGATGCAATGCACGATCCTGGAGAATTTGAGATCGTAATTGCGACGGAACCGACCATTACCCCTGGGTCCTCAGCTAGGTCTGGCTCTGGAGACAGACCTGGCCTACACAGTCGTCGAGGGCGAGGGCGCGATCCGGGAATTCATAATTTCGGCCCTGCGCCAGATAATTATGAACCTATTTTTGATCACATTCATCAAGCAGAACTGGCCAGATGGGATTTCCTAGGTTCGACATGCCAGATCTACAACGACGACGCCCTGCCTACATGCCCAGTATGCCGATCACCAAAACACGGGGCACATGCTCGGATGGCTGCGCGCCGACCATTTGACATGACCATACCGAGCCATTTCCGGGGGGAAAGTTACCACGGGGAGGGCGCAGATGGCGAAGTACACGAGACTCTGTTCATGATTGACGCCGAGGAAAAGGCACCGCAACCCCCTCGAGGTGGTCGGCGCGCGCCTGCACCTGCACGACCACACGGGCAAGGTGCCCATCGACGACATGGCCGAGCCCAGCGAGGTCATTCAACCAAAGGCAGAGCTGCACTGGATGCACGAGAGATGCGTCGTGCTCTGATTCGATAACGCGAGTTCCGACGGGCCAGCCGATGCGGATGCCGTCTTTGGGAAGACCATGCCATTGATTGTTGGGGCCGAAGCAAAACACTTGCACGACCTTTTGATGTCAGCGACTTAGGCAACACGTCGCGGGGATATGTCCAAGAGCAGGGGCGGGCCAGGCAGAACTACGCGGCCCGGCCCGCCTGAACCTAGGCTCCGAAGCTCTTCAACGTCCAAGAAGGGGCAGCAGTTCGAGATCTCACGGTTGGGATTAGGGTCAGGGTTGATGCTCCGGGCCACGCTTCAGGTCTAGATCTAGGGCGTAGGGTTCAAGGCCTATCTTAAACGATAGTGGTTAGGCATGGGTTTAGAGTTTAGGCTCAAGAAGAGACTGCGCGGATCAATCCCTCCCGCCCTAAACCTTTTCTACGAATGTCGCCTGGCTCAACAGTTTGAAAGCGTCAGCGCGATTTGGATTCATATGTTCCTTGAGGCCTCCTGCCGCGACGAGGAAGACGAACACGAGGATGTGAATGTTGTTGGTGTTGGTGGCGGCGGCGAGCCTGGGAACGCTTTAGGAAGCGTTTGGAAGGTCTGGGAGTACTTGGGAGCGTTTTGGGGCGTCTGGCGCTTGGGAGCGCCTGGAGCAGCCTGGAGAACACTTGGGTCCAAAGTCGGAGTAGGAAAGGGCTGCCCGAAGCGTTTCGAGACATTATGTTTTTACGCGGTCGATGTGTTATGTGTTTGCTTCCTGTGCCCGGGAAAGGAAGGAAGGAACTCGTCGGGGCCATTGGGCGGGTCGATGTTTTATCATCAGCAGATGTGTGCCGAATCGTTTTTATTGTTGAAGATGGTGAGGTTTAGACAGACGTTCAGACCAGCAGCCGTGCGTCGAATGGCGTTTTTCATTTACACAGGATGGTGCAGGCTGGGTCGATGCGAGGATCAACTGATGTGCACGGCGCAATACTTTGTTGCATTGGTAGTTAGTGACGGTTGGGTGGATGTGATGATCAACCGATATCCACCGCAGTGCATTCGTTGCACACCGTAAGGGTTAGGCCATGAATCGTTTCTGGATCGGTCCGGGGTTGGCCGCGGCAGAGAATGAGGGCTACATATTTACAGGACTCGTTTTTCAGAGTTTAAGGTCCATCCTGTGTTTGCATAGATCAATTCCTCCCGCCTTACACCCTTCCCCTATGATTGACCTACTTCATACCCTTAACGCGTTGACGCGATCTGACTTCATCTCCCCCTTGAGGCGGTGTGATCGCCACGGTCGTCGTCGGCGAGCCGTCGTCGCCGTCGACGACGACGGTCGTCACCGTGAACCTGTCGAGGGTGGCAAATATTTGAGCTACCCTCGCCGTCGTCGTCGTCGTCGACGACGTCACTACAGGCCATCACAAGCTCTCCTGGGGCCACCGTGAGCCTGCCGAGGGTAGCCTCAAATTCAGACCAGTCGTAATATCAGAAGATGTGCACCGCATGTGGTGTTTTGCAAGGTATGGTGAGAATGGGTCGGTGTGAAGATCAGCAACTGTCCACAGCATAGTATTATTGGCATCGGCTGATGGGAGCTGGAATGGATGTGAAAATCAGCCGACGTCCACCAGATATTTGATTTGCAAGGGATGGTCAGGGTCGAGTCGTTGTTCAGATCAGCCGACGTGCACAGAGTGGCATTCGTTGCATAGGACGGTCAGGATCGGGCCGATGTTAAGATCGGCCGAAGGGCATTGTTGGGACGAGCCGAGGTGCATCGCATACAATGGCTTGCAAGGGATGAGGCTGGGTTCGGTGCACCAGATGGTATGTTTTGCACCCGATGGTGAGGGTCAGGGGATCAGGAAGGCCTAGATGAGAGATCTTGCGGTCAGCCGATGTGCACCACGTGGTATTGATTGCAGCGGATGGGGGGGGGATCGCGGCCTGGGCCTGGTCCAAGTAGGCAGCGAGCCGGCCGATCCAGGACTAAGGATTATTATGAATTAGAATTTAGGGTTAGGGTTGAGGGTTAGGGTTTGGCGGCAGAGCTAGGTCCAGGGTGTGCTGTTAAGGTCGTTGTCAGAGTTCATGGTGAGGGTTCAGGGTTTCAGGATTAGGGTCCAGGGCTAGGTTTTAGGGATAGGGCTTAAGGCTTCACCATGGGAAGCAAAGATTGATTCCCCCAGTGTTATCCGTGGCAATCAAACTAACGAATTGATTCCCGAGGGGGTAACAGCCGAGCGATATTGCTAGAACCACGACAAAATAAGTTACTATGTAATTCTGACGGGGGCTCCCATGGTGAACTACGGAGGAGGCCCATGGTGGAATCTGATTTGGATCCGATTCTACGAGGATCATCTTTGAACCCTATCGGAATCCGATTGGAATATACTTGGGATCTTGCTGGGTTCATGTTGCAACCGCCTTGGGCTCTAACTGGGATCCGATTGGGGTCTCGTTGGTATCCTATTAGGATCTTGGTGGGATCCCGCACTCAGGGGCCTTGGGCAAGGATATCACTTCCACGGGCGAAAAGCGATATGGTTTCTCCGAGGGGGGGTCGATAATTGTTTCCCAGGATTAGGGTTAGGGTTTAGGTTGATGTTAGTGGTCGGTTCGTTCGGAGTAGGGTCGAGTGGTGTTCTTGCAGAGGGAGTCTATCGGAAGAACTCGTTCGGAAGAATTTGTCTGGAAGACATCGTACGGAATAATATGCACAGATGAAACCTATGTGGGGCCTTCCGTTGGGATGAACTTCTTCGGATGAACACGTCTTTGGGTGAATCCATCCGGATGAAGTCGTATTCGGATGAATTCGTCCGAGCAAAATCGTTCGGATACATACGTCCTCGGATGGATTCGTTTTCGGATGAAATTGTTTGGGCGAATTCGTTCAGATGAGTTCGAGCTGAATGATTTCGTTTCGGATGAAACGGGAAGTTGTTCTCTCACCTGATGGTCCGACCCCCCACCCACGGCACGATTCTTGGGGCAACACATGTAGTGCAATGATTGATGTCGGCGAGTTCCCGATCCCCCTGGAGATCTCGATCCCAGCTCGATGAATCACTCGCTCCTCCTGGGTTCGGACCGCCTACCCACATTGAGGACGAGAACTAGAACACCCAGTGCTGCAGAACAATCGCCGCCTGCGGCGGCCCTTCGTTGCGATTCGTTTTGCTGTGGGTTCACATTACCGCCGTTATTACTATCCGTGACTGCGGGGCCATGCCATGAGATCGTCGCCGTCGCCGTCGCCGTCAACATCAACATCATCACAACCCCCCATTCGAGCCCTGGCGCAACGGCGACGAAGTTGGCGATTGTGATGATGATAGTGATGAGGACGATGACGTGGATGATGAGGCTGATGATGACGACGGGTGCGCTGGTTGGTGAACGCGGTTGTGGCGACTGGTGGCCATGACGCTGGTGAACGTCAGGACTCAAGTGACGGGGGTCAATGCAAACGGGGGATCAGCCAGAGCGCCGGATCTTGCAGGATCTTTTAGAGCCAGGGGTGCATTGATCCCGGGTTTGGGTGCAGGATCTTGCAGGATCTTGCAAGGCTTGACCGACCTGGGTCAGGATTGGCCTGGATCAGTTGATCCCCGAGCGGCGCGGTAGAGGTGGCGACAGTGGTGGCGATGATGAGTGGTAATCATCAGAAGTGCAAGGGAAGAGAGGGAGAGAGGGAGGACGGAGGAGGGGGTGGCATTCGCCCTCCCCATTCCCTCGAATAGGGGATCGACTACAGAGTTGATTTATTCCGAATGGATTTTACCGCCGAAGATACAAAACACACACACACACATAATGTTCGTAGATCTGCGGGACAGTGTATGTACGTTTCCGTGGATGCGACGGGGAAATCAGTTTTGGGGTAAATCAATCATGTAGTCGATCCCCTACTCGATTCCTCCTCGCCCATCCTCCCCCCGTCCTGTGGTTCCAGAAGTTATACACCTCAGCCTCAGACCCTGGACGGCAGCTCCAGGGAAGCTCACCGTACCCCTCTCGGGTGTGCGACCAGTCGTCGGAACGACTTGCTGCGGCTCATGCTCCCATCCTTCGTCGCCGCGACAGGTGATGCGCACCATCGGCACGAAGCACAACTTCCCTGGCATGGTTATCACCTACGCGGCCATTAATCATTTGAAGCGCATCGCAGAGACGCATACAGCTAAAATCAAGATCATCACGCGCGCGGAGGTGAAAGGGCTTACCATTTCCGCTGGCCAGGCCCTCACGGTTGGTTTCTTGTTTTTCGCAGTGGTGACGATGATTAGAAACAGGACTTATTTGTTCATTCCCCAACGTGTGTTGAGTATCTTTCCTCGAAGCTAATGCTCTTCTCGAGCCCTTGCGCACGCACGAGGCCGTGTGCGAAGTCCTGGCTCAGCGTTTGCTTAGCTTCGGGTCTTCCTGCCCGAGAGCTGGCCCAGTGCTCTCGGACTGGTTTCTCCCAGTCGTGGGCTCGATTGTGGCAGGAGGCGGGTGGCAACGACGAGGAGTCAAAAGGAGTGCTTGCCCCCGAAGGGCCTGGCCCGGGCACGTTCCTCGACTGGTCGCGCTGCCGCGCAGGTCCGCCACCGCGCCTTGGGATCGGAAGGGCGTGGACGAGCACGGCTGACAGGGCGGTTCACCCCTCCGAGGATCGGCATTCGAGGCTCTCAGGTCGAGGCAGTCTTTCAGACCCTGCGGGTCGAGTGGCACACCTCCGCCTCATTCCGTCCTTTCCGTTCTGTTCTTTGCTCTCGTCGCTTAGTCACCTCATGTACTGCTCATACTCGGAGCCCTCATTCAGTCTCAGTCATGCACCTGGACTCAGTCATTTCAAGACTAGTCAAACTCAGATCACTCACGCTCAGAATCGCTCGTACTCAGACTCACTCACGCGCAGGCTCACGCGCTCAGGCTCACTCACACTCACATTCACCTACTCACACTCAGACAAACCACTCTCAGCTCTACTCATACCCAGTTTAGTCTCTCTTCAGTGTCCCGTGATCACCGCGATACAGCAGGCATGGGAGCCGACCAAGGGTGTTGGACAGGCCCGTTCGCGCCCAGTTTGTGGGTGAGGAAAAGGCGGAGGAGGAGTAGGAGGAGGAGGAGGAGGAGGAGGAGAAGAAGGAAGAGGAGGACGAGGAGGAGAAGAAGGGAGGAGGAGAAGGAGGACGAGGAGAAGGAGAAGGAGAAGAAGGAGGAGAAGGAGGAGGAGAAGGAGGAAGAGGAGGAGGAGGAGAAGGAGGAGGAGGAAGAGAAGAGAAGGAGGAGGAGCAGGAGGTGGAGGAGGAGGAGGTACCGCTTTGGGGAAGGTGGACGTGTCTCTTTTCAGAGCCTCGTGATGTAGCAGGCACAGCACTTGGGGGGCTGGTAGAGCGCGGCGGCATCGCACCACGGCAGGACAGCTGAGCGGCAAGGTTTTTCCGCTGCTGGCTGCAGGCGTGGTCTCAATGGGGCGCCAGCCCCGAGGCAAGCATCATCGAGAGGGACCCAGACCCCCTCGCGCTGCGAAAACAAGCACAACGGGAGGTTTTTCGCTACTTTCGGCCTCCTGGGGCCCTCACCAGGCCCTGGGACCCGCAAAAACCGATTCAGGATAAAAGACCGGTCCCAGGGAAGGGGTCCAGACCTCTGGGGGTCGACGTTGTAGAACAATCATGACGCCGGGGGTCTGGGTAACACGTTGCGTTCCTTGGCGCGCTCAATTGAAACCAACGCTGCAGACCAGCAGCTGTGCTTGGCCAAGGTGCTCTCCAGGCGCCTCATATATGGCATCAGCTTTCCCACGGCGCGGCTACGGAGGAGGAGGAGGAGGAGGCAGGACGTAAATTCGCACACTTCTCCCCGAGGCTCCCGGTGGCCCTCAGAACCTGTAAGCTCGCCGGCCGCTGCCTGCGCCGCAGATGCGCCGCTCATCTCCGGCAGGGCGAGCCGTCTCTGCCGGAGGTGGACAGACCTCCTACCCTGACACGTCGATTAAGGAATTGGCCGTTTTCGGTTCGCGAGAGGGCGTCGCGGCCGCTATTTTTGCGGGTCCAGGTCCGTCGGCTTCGGTCCCAGGCCGTTTTCACCAAGGGGAGGTGTACTAGAGGGAGGTTTATCCACCGCCGACACTGCGACGACATCCTCGAGCCCGCAGCCGCCCGCCCACAAAGCCGCCCGCCTGGGCAGCGTGGAGAGGGACCCCTGGGCTTAAGTCGGGCCTGTCCCTCTACCTCTATAGGAGTAATATTCAAGAATAGTAGAATAGTAAAAAAAAGTCTGGGGACCATCTTTTGACCACTTTTTAGCATTTTTGGAGTATTTGGGGGGTATTTTTAATTTTTCGTCCAAAATCCCCGTGTAGGAGGACAGGCCCGACCTAACACTGGGCCGTGCGGACGACGTGGCCCACATGAGCGACGCAGAAGCACGGGTTTATCTTCACTGACATTGGCGCGTAAGCTGCCCGCGAATCACCAGAGGAGACAAAACCACCACCACCACCCCAGGGGTAGGGGGGCTCTGGGAACGGAACTCTATGGAGTTCTGGTGGTGGCTCTTTTGCTCTGACGGGCGAAAGGTCGCGCGTAGTCTCCAGTGTGGCGTGCCGCGCTGGCGGCCCGCGTTAAGGTCGCTATGTCATCTCGCGTAACAAACCTGTTCCTTTTCGGGCGGGGCTAGGACGAGGAAAGATCCGATCCAGAGCATTCCGGAACGCGCTCAGAGCGTTCCAGAACGTTCTGAGAAGGCCGCGACGCCCGACATCCTCTAGACCGGCCAGATCTCAGAGATTCTCGATTTATCCTCACCCTAATGTATCCTCGTCCTGGCTTCGTCGTACCTTTTTCGTCTCCCACGCGCCTCCTGCGCTGGGCCCCCCCCAGCGGCGCCGCCCCTGACGCGCTCCGCGCGCCAGGGAGGGGGGGTCCAGCGCAGATCCAAGAAATCCGCGCGGAGCGCCGAAAGTTCATGTCTATGCCGCTGTTTGTTCCTCTGGTGTCTCTTTCCAGGGCCTCGCGATGTAGCAGGCACAGCACTTGAGCAGGGCTCATTTCAATTCCTCCGATTCGAAACAATTCGATTTCGATGGCTTCCGATTCCGATTCGATGATTTCGGATTCCGATTTGGGCTCCGATTTCTCAATGGAGGCTTACTAGCCTGCCGATCACCGCCGATTCGACTTCTCCCGACTCGGCTGCCGATTTCCGCCGATCCGATTCATTTCGATTGCAGATCCAACTTATCTAGTCGATTCTGGGCTCTCCCGCCCCTCCCTCGGGAAGTGGCAAGGGCATGGGGGGGTCAAGCCAGCTTTTCCAGAAGGGTCGCGGATCGAGGAGGAGAAGGAGTAGGAGGAGGAGGAGGAGGAGGAGGAGGAGGAGGAGGAGGAGGGCAAGGAGGAGGAGTAGTAGTAGTAGGAGGAGGAGGAGGAGAAGGAGTGCGAGGAGCGAGGAGGAAGAGGAGGAGGAGGAGGAGGAGGAGGAGGAGTGCGAGGAGCGAGGAGGAGGAGGAGGAGGAGGAGGAGGAGGAAGGCGAGGAGGAGGAGGAGGAGGAGGAGGAGCGGGGAGGAAGGCGAAGAGCGAGGAGGAACAGGAGGAGGAGGAGAAGGAGGAGGAGGAGGAGGGCGAGGAGCGAGGAGCGAGGAGGAGGAGGAGCGAGGAGGAGGAGGAGGAGGAGGAGGAGGAGGAACGAGGAGGAGGAGGAGGAGGAGGAGCGAGGAGCGAGGAGCGAGGAGGCAGAAGCCCCCCAACGCTTCGGTCTAGGCCTAGATGGGATCGGGGTAGATGGGGTCGGAGGATCGCGCTGCATCGCGGATGCATCGCCGAGATGCGGCTCGATGTGGAGCCCGATTTGCTTCACGTCGACGTCGCCGATGCGTCGCCGACGTCGCCGATGCACCGCCAATGCATCGCCGATGCATCGGCGATGCGGCGCGAACCTCCGATTCCATCTACCCGGGCCCCATCTGGGAGGCCTCTAATCTAGGGGCACAGAATCGGACGGACCCAGAATCGAGATGAATCCGTTCCAGAGGATTCCGGAACGCTCGGAGCGCTCCGCAACGCTCTGGAACGGCCGCGGCGCCCGTAAGAGACATCCCCCAGGCCCGCCGATGTTCAGAGATTTCCGATGTATATCGGTCCGATGTTGTCTCGCTTCTGCCTTCGTTTTGCATCGGCGACGGGCCCAGGGGGAAAGTGAGAAGGAGCGGGCCGTCTCAGAATGCTCGGAAGCCCCCCGGCCTTCTGAGAAGTTCCCAACCATCCTGTGGTGTTCGGTCCTCGTTTTGAAGAGAGCGCCCCGCGTTCCTCCTCCTTCTCCTTCTCATCCTCCCCCCTCCTCCCACCCTTGCCTCTGGCCTCCACATGTCCACAATTTCAGCGCACCCACCCAGTACAGCGTTTCGTGGCCCTTCAGGGAGCTCCACCGAAGGCCCGAGTGGCTGTGACCACATGCGTCCCTGCCACCCAGTACAGCGTTTCGTGGCCCTATAGGGAGCTTCACCGAAGGCCCGAGAGGCTGTGACCACATGTGCCACCGCCACCCAGTACAGCGCTGCGAGGCCCCATAGGGAGCTCCACGAAAGGCCCCAGTGGCTGTGACCACATGCGTCCGCGCCACCCAGTGTAGCGCTTCGTGATCCTATAAGGATCTCCACCGAAGGGCCCAGTGGCTATGACCACATGCGTCCGCGCCACACAGAACAGCGCTTCCTGGCCACACAAGAAGCTCCTCCGAAGGCCCCAGTGGCTGTGATCACGTGCGGCACATGCGTCCGCGCCACCCAGTAAAGCGTCTCGTGGCCCCATTGAGAGCTCCACCGAAGACCCCAGTGGATGTGACCACATGGGAGTAGCGGTACAGTCAACCCGCAGAGTAAGGATGAGCAATTTGTCCCAGGTTACCCTTGCATCCTTGCCCCTTCGGTCCATCCCTGGCAACTTTCGCTGGCCAAGCCCCTTAGGGTACCCTTGAGGCGGGCTTTCCAAGGCCCTTGCATCCTTATCGTGCATCCTTACTCCGCGGGTTGACTGTCTCAGTAACTCTTGGTTTTCCCAACGCCTCGAAAGTGTTGAGCCGCCGGATTTGGGTCCTCCTCCTTGCTCCTCCCCGTCCCCCCACCACGCCCTGCGCCCGCCCGCTGGCTGGGTCCCCACCCCTGCCCCCGCACACGAGGTCTGCGGGGTGACCTACTACAGGACACGCGACGACGGCAGAATCATCAGCGAAAATCTCGCAGGTCCCTGGCGCCCAGCGGCCTCTCCCCGCAGGCAGGCAGAGAGCCACAGCGACCGGGAGGGAGGAATCCGGGAGACGAGCGCGTGCCGGACGGCTCCTCCCGTCCCCCAGCTCGCAGCTGCCAAGGAGCGGAAGGAGAGCCAGCGTGCGGCCACACGTGCACCGATCAGCAGGGAGCGGGAGGGAGGCGCGGTAGGTTTGTGTCGTGTCGACCGGCGGCGACCCTGCCAGCGGCGTTCAACTCTGAACGCCGCGGGCGACCCAGAAGCGTTCGACGCGGAACAGCTTGGACGTGTCGGAAACGGCCGATCGCTCGAGGTGGAACGATCCGCGCGGTTCATAAACCGACGCCGAAGTCGACACGGCACGAACCTGCCGCAGAGGAGGATGCTTGGAGCAGGAAGAGGAGGAGGAGGAGGAGGAGGAGGAGGAGGAGGAGGAGGATTCGAGATCGATTCGAGATTCGAGGTCCGCGGCAGTCGGGGGCATCTTGTTTCGTGAGCCGCCGTGTGGCGCGGAGTCTCTTCGTCAGGGAGGGGACCAGGGGTTCAAGATCCCCTCCTCCTCTTTCTCTTGGGGCCCCCTTGGGAATAGTGATTCCGGCGCGAACTTGAGTTACAACCCGAACGATAATGACCGGTTGCAGTTGCTAAATGGAGTGCAGTTGAGCTTCATATGAATTCACGCTCCGTCAGGGTGAGTCGGGCCTGTCCCTCTACAGGAGGAACATTCAAAAATAGTCAAAGAATAGTCAGGGGACGATGTTTGAGTATTTGTTTACAAATTTGGAGTATGTTTTGACTATTTGTCATTTTTCGTCCAAAACCCCCTGTAGGAGGACATGCCCGACCTAAAACTAAGTTGGGACGCAAGGGCGCTGTCGTGGAGCAATGTCGGGACTTCACGCGAGAGCCAATGTCGTACATTACGGCCTGCACAGCAGATTTGAAAACCATGCATCGGATTCTGACGGTTCGCACTGCGAACTTGTTGACAATCGTGGTTTCGGGATGCAAACATCGCGTAAATCATTGGGGATCGTAGTCTCGGGGGCGCGAATGCAGCGTAAGTTACAAAAGGATCGTGGCATCGGTGACGCTAAGATCGTGTAATGGATTCTTGCTTACAGCCTCGACGTCGCGAGCATTGGGCAATTTGCCAGGGATCGTGGCCTCGGGGGCGCGGACCTTCTGTAATGTACGAGGGATCGTGGCCTCGGGGACGCGAGCCTGTGTTAATGAACGGTGGACCGTGGCCCCAGTGACGCGAAGATTGCACGACTTGCAGAGGGCAAGTATGGTGCAATGTACGAGGGATCGTGTGTCGATCGTTCGTTCGCAGGCCATGTCGCACGACACGTCGGCTCAGCAGGGGAAGAGGGCATGCCGCGCGGGAGAAGCGGCAATGAGAGATTGCATCTAAGCATCGATCGGGTCAATGGAAAGACAAGGTTGTTGAACAATTGCTTTCCGAATTGGTGGTCCGTGCACTGCAAAACGAGGGCCCCTGAATAGTGCATTCAGCGCCTCATGAGGAGGGAGGGACGGATCGTGGTTTCGGGGACGCGAATAGCATTAAGTCGGGCTTGTCCTTCTACAGGAGGAAAATCCAAAAATTGACAAAAATAATATGGGGACGAATGTTTGCCTATGTGTGTTTGTTGTTGAAGTATGGTTTGACCATGTTCCATGTGTCGCCCAAAGTCCGCCTGTAGTAGGGGGCACGCCCGACCGAATCTCATGTATTGTTACGCGTCCCAGGCCCCAAAAGAAATCTGAGACCACACCGAGGGCGTGGTAAATTTGACCTTTTTGGGTTCCCCGCCCCCTCGCGCGGACTCGAACAAATCACAGTAGGAAGTAGAAAGTAGAACTATGACATGGGAGACTTAAAATTGGAGCTGGGGCAGGGAGCAGCAAGCCTAGTCCCCACAGCCTCATGGTCCCATAAGGGGGCTGACGGATTGGTGTATTGGCCCGTTGCCCCGACGCCCATCTCGCAGATACCGTTTCGCGCCACCGGTCTGTCTCTTCGTAGGCAGCTAGTATTTGGCGTGTATCCGTGCAGTTCTGATTCACGTTGATGTGTGAGTCCGCGTTTCATTGTGGCATTGCAGACATGCTGCTGGTCGGTGTGTGCGTGTGTGCGGGTTGGTGCAGCGTTTATGTGTCTTGTTCGCAGTCCGTCATCTGCTTCCTCTTGCCGTGCTCTTCTCCCCGCCTCTGCCCTCGTTCCCTCCTTGCTGCCTCCCTTCTCTCAGCCTCCTCCCAATCCCTCCCTCCTCCACCCCCCCAGGGCTCATATCGACCCCTCCAATTCGATTCGATTCGGTTTCGATGGCTTCTGATTCCGACTCGATTCGACTTGGGATTCCGATTTGGGTTCCGATTTCTTGTTGGAGGCATACTAGCCTGCCGATTCTTGCCGATTCGATTTTTCCCGACTCGGCTGCCAAATTCCGCCGATCCGATCCATTTCGATCGCCGATCCGACTTCTCGATTCGATCCTGGGCTCTCCTGCCCCCCCCCCTCTCCGCCTCCCTGCCCCCGCTGCATCCACCTCCTTCTCACCCTCGCCCCAAAGAGTTTCCAAGGGGGGCAACTCCCATCGGCCTTGCCGAGGTCCAGTGATCCTGGCCACGGGAGGCTTCTGCGGTGACAAGTCTGCGCAAGGATTCTTGCAACAGTACAGGGGAGATCTCAGACAACTGCCGACCACGAACGACGAGCGCAGCAGCGGCGACGGTATCAGGCTGTGGTGTTGCGAAAAGATCGCGACAGGCGATTGTTCCTTCCTCCCTCCAACCTGTCCCTGTTCCTCGTCGTCGTCCTCCTCCGTCTCGTGCCCCCCCTCCTTTTCCATCCATGTTTCTGATGAACATTCGCGTAACCAGACGTGTTGGTACGGCGGCCAGATGTTTGGCGTGCGAAAACCCTTGCAATGTGCGATTATAACACTCAGTGTTCCCAGCATCCATGGGGATGGATGGTGGCTCATTTTCAACGGCACGCTCTCGTACAGGTTATATGGACGATTTCTTTAAGATTCCAACATATTCAAGGATGCAGCGGGACCCCCTCTTGCATAAATCGTGCGTTCGGCATCTAGCTGCCCTCGGGCCATTCCACCACCTTGAGTGGATCGCGGACAAAGGTTGGGATCTCTTGGAGGCATTTTGGAGTATCGTGGAGAGAGATCGAAGATACATGTGTGTCCTCTCGGACGTTGTTGTTCCCAGAAAGTGGCGCATCACTCCCTTGGCATCCTCAGCGCCCTGACTGGCTATTGTCAGCTCCCGGGCCTTAACGTGCTGTGCTTTTCGTCAGCCTTGGCTGCGTGTTGTTCTCCACTTCTGCTCATGATGTGCCGCTATTGAGTTCGCGTTATTGCTCCAAGCATGAATTTCTAGATGGTGTGATAAGCTTCGCAATCGTCGCAGAAGCGGTCATGACTCGCCCCCTCGTCAGTTGCCATGATGATATAGAATGTATGATGGCACAACATGGTGGGACAGGAGCGACATCCCGAAAGCAACCAACGTAAAACTCAAGCTCCGAATGGCCGAGACATGCAGAATCAGGTTTACAAGCGTGGTCCCCGACAGGTAACTCAATGCGCTCGGAATGTGCAAGCTATGTGGTGGGATATGTGTGGTGCAAGCTACGGGATGCAAGCTGTGATTCGATCTACGTGGTGCAAGGTACGTGATACAGTTAATTATTTGTTTATAGTTTATGTATTTATATATACATATACCTATACGACCACCTTTCGGGTGATAAGGCGGTTCGGGGGGGGAGGAACCAACGTCTCACTCGATCGGTCTCACTATCGATCTCACTATCGGTCTCGCTCGATCGATCTCACTCGACCGATCTCACAATCGATATCACTCGATCTATTTCATTCGATTGATCTGACTATCGATCTCACAATCGATCTCACCATCGATCTCACGATCGATCTCACAATCGATCTCATATTCGGTCTCACTATCGATCGCACTATTGATATCACAATCGATCTCACAATCAACGTCATCGTCATCATCATCAGTATCATCAACATCATCGTCATCAACGTCATCAACATCATCATCATCGGGACCCCATCATCATCATCATCATTTCATCACCATCATCAACATCATCATCACCATCATCATCAGGACACCAGCAACGTCACCATCATTATCATCATCAACATCATCATCATCGGGACACCATCATCATCATCATCGGAAAACTATCATCATCATCATCTTCATCATCGCATCATCATCAGCATGAACAACATCAACATCATCATCATCATTGGGGCACCATCGTCATCATCATGAGCAACACTATCATCATCATCATCATCATCATCATCATCATCATCATCATCATCATCATCATCATCATCGGGACACCATCATCATCGTCACCATCATCATCACCATCATCACCATCGAGACACCATCATCATCATCATCATCATCATCATCATTTTCAACATCAGCATCATCATCACCATCATCGGGCCACCATCATCAAAATCATCACCATCACCTCGTCATCATCCTCATCATCAACATCACCACCATCATCATCATCGGGACACCATCATCGTCATCATCATCCTCATCATCAACATCATCATCGTCATCGGGACACCATCATCATCATCACCATCAACAGCATCATCATCATCGGGAAACCATTATCATCATCACCATCATCGTCTCATCATCATATCGTCATCATCTCATCATCATCATCAACATCATCAGGATCATCAACATCATCATCGGCATCATCGGGACACCATCATCATCAACAACACCATCATCAACACCATCATCGGGACACCATCATCATCACCACCATCACCATCAGAATCAACATCGTCAACATCACCATCATCATCATCGGGACACCATCATCATCACCACCATCACCATCATCATGATGAACATCATCGGCCCCGTCATCATCATCATCAGCATCAGCATCAGCATCATCATCATCATCATCATCATCATCATCATCATCATCATCATCATCATCATCGGGACACCGACGGGACACCGGCGGGACACCGCGCGGCACCGGCCTCTGGAAAGGAAACCTTTGGTCCAGCTGCGCCTAAGCCGGAGGCGGGACACCGGCGGGACACCGCGGGCCACCGGCCCCCGGAAAGGAATCATTTGGTCCGGCCGCGCCTCAGCCGGAGGAGACTTTCTTTTCGCCCGCCCACGCAGCTTCGCCTCGCCCGCACGCACGGCACGCACGAATACGAAACCGAAACCGATTTCCCGGTAGGGGGGCTCTCCGTTCCACTTCGATCTCACCCCCTCACCTCCGATTCTCGTTTATATATTTTCATTACCGGGGACCCCCCCCCGAAACTGAACCCCCCGAATCCCTGGCCTCCGGGACCCTCTGGCCCCGCTGGATCCGTGGCCCCGGGGACCCGCTGGACGCCCCTGCAAGAGGCCCCCCAGGCGTTTCAGAGTGCCTGGAAGCCCTTGCTGGGCCTAGGCGACGGGCACAAATCGGTCAGGAGGGCGGCCGAACGCCTCCCCGAGGGCCCCAAGAGGCACCAGACATCCACCAGACGCCCGAAGACGACCCAAAGAAAACCCCCAAAAGGCTTCCAAAACGCAGAAAATGTTATGTTCCGAGTTTTTGTTGCCTGGTTTTGGGAATGCCCTGATCTTCGGTCCTCTTGGCGTCAGAGACCGCCTGGGAGGTCAACCCCATCCGAAAGGGCTTCCAGGCAGTCCAAGAGAGCCCCAAGACGGCACAACAGGGTTCCAAGATGGCCTAAGAGAGCCCCATGGCTGCCCAAGATGGCCCCAAGACGCCTTCCGAAGCATTCAATCGTGACCCAGTCGTTCAGGGAGACCGCGGTTGGACGCAGGGTGGCCCGAGGAAGCCCCAAGAGGCCCCCAGAACACGCCCAGGAGGCCTCTGGAAGGCTTTGGAAAAACTTCTGTGAGGCCCCCAGAGGCTCTCCAAGGAGGAGCTCCGCAAAAATTGCTGAGGAGGATGGGGAAGAATTCGCAGGGTAGGGCGAGAATGAGGAAACAAAAACATGGAGGAAGGATAACGAATAGCATTATTATGGCGGCGAGGCCGGAAGAGGCAACAAGGAGTTGTTTTTTTTGTTGTCTGGTTTTCTTGCCATTCTAGATGTTTGTGTGTATAGATGTGCCTATGCAAATGTACATCGTATATATATACATAGTTATACACATACGTATATATATATATATACACGTATGCCAGCGATGTGATGCAAGCTATGTGGTGCAAGCTGTGTCACTAAGCGAGGCGGCAGCCAGCGCACGAGGCACCCACAAAGAGCGCCCACAAAACGCCCAGCAGGCGAAGAAGCCCCCGGAGCACCCAGCCAGAATAAAGGCGGAGCACCCAGCCATTACGAGGCGCCCACGAAGTGCCCCCCTCCTCCTCCTCCTCCTCGTCCTCGCTCCTCCTCCTCCTCATTTTCCTCGTTCCTCGCTCCTCCTCCCCCTCCTCCTCCTTCCGTAGCCATTCGGCTCAAGATACCTTTGTCTTTCGCACAGGGAGTGGATACCTCTAGTCCGAGGCCAGCGTCCGATTTTTTCAGGCGCCATCGACCCTACCGCCAGCGCGGTAGCCAGCGCCTTCTTTCACGACGGGTAGGTTGTGCGCTGCCCGCACAGAAGAGTCATGGCGCCGCCCACGCGCATTGAGGCAGCAGCACGCTGTTATTGCAAGTGGTGCTCAGCGCCGACAACGGGCAAGCCGTGGTGGTCACCGCCAGAGGCCAAGTAGGGCACGCGCTGCGGGCTGCGCAAGGGAGATTGATGATTGTCCAACGTGTCGCCGCCTGCCCTTTCTTAGCGGGTCTCCAAGGAGCCTGCATCATGGGCGAAGCAGAACTCGGGAAAGGCATTGGACTTCGAGGCGACCGTCAAACGCTTGGAGGCGGAGAACAAGCAGTTACGTGCCCACGCTCCTGGCAAAGACGATGTGGTCATGGGCGGTGAGGGCGAAGCATTATACAGCCCTGACGAGTTTAACAAGTGCAAGCGGCTCAAGGAGGTGGAGGAGCAGATCGCTTGGCCCAAGCGGGACAGCGACGCCAAGATGCAGTCCATGGTTGCGGAGCTGCAGAAGGAAAAAAAGGAGCTACACACCCAGTTGCAGCAGTCGTGGCCGATGCATGCGCAGTTGTCGCTGGCCACTGCTCAATTCAAGAGCGCTGCGAAGCGTATTTCTTCGACAAGGCGATGAGGGCCCAGGTCGAGGAGATGCAGCGCAGCCTGGAGGCATCCAAGGAGGAGCTGGACAGGATTGAGCCCGAGGCGGCCGAGATCCGCGTCCGCATCCACGAGCTCACCGCTGCAAGTGGGCGCGAGCCCCCAAGTGAATTCACGCTGGGTGCCCAGGTGCCTGGAACGTAGGTCAACGTGGAGGAGCTGGGTAAGCTGCTTCACGAGCACGGTGTCGGAGAGCAGTCGCAGGTCGTAGCGCTTGCAATTGCCGGGGCCATTCCGAAGCTGGCCCCCATGCCGCAGCAGGAACCCAGCCGCAGGTCGAAGACATTGGTGCCATGTTGGAGGCCGCGTCTGAGCAGGAGCTGCGCGACGGCACCAGCGCCTGCTATCCCGCTGGCCAGGCCCCTGAGCTCCCTGAGGGCGCAGCTGAGTTGCGCGCCGCTGCCATGCGCATCACAACCAACCCGTCGCGCGCCAAGGTGCTCGCGGCCAGACGTCG